ACTCCATCAATGCTCATGTTCCCTGGTGACTAAGGTTCAAGCGGTGTCTCAATCTTAACTTCCAAGGAAGGATGGCATGGGAGCAGTGGCGTAACAATCACCATAGCGACCCAGGCAGCCGCTATGGGGCCCGGGGCACAGTGGGGCCCGGCCAGATGCCGTGCAGGCCGCCTGGGTCGCTATGGGATCCTCTGCTGGTGGCTTTCACTGGCGGCTGAAGACGAACACGCCGCTGTTCGGATCACTGACAGTAATCTGTGCAGCAGCGCGTTCCTCTCCACAGAGTCAATTAGAGCCAGCAGCGGCAGTGGAGGAGGCGGGGCTCATGGTCGGCAGCAGGGGAGGAGGCGGAGGCCCGGTGACGAAGAAGGAGGCGGGACTGGCGAAGGAGGCGGGGCCCATCAGCGACCGTGGAGGAAGAGGAGGCAGACAGGTAAGGAGTGCGACCAGCCCACCTGAGGGTGACCCTGCATAGCCCACCATAGAGAGTCTATGGTGCACTCTGCAAGTTCACCCTCAGGTGGGATCTCGAGCGGGCTCTGCAAGGGGTATAACTAGAAATCACGGGGGCCCCATACAAAATTTTGCTATGGGGCCCTGTGATTTCTAGTTACGCCCCTGCTCTGAGGACTACCAAAGGCCTTCACAAATACGTGCTAGTCAGACAATCTGCATCCCTTAGTTCCCTATTCATGCCCTACTGCCACTTTGCCTGCCATAACACCTAAGCATGCTTTTCCTATTGTATACCGGACTACTTTGTGACATATTTGTCTGTTCTACAGTTTCAGACACCTTTGTTAACACTTTGTCATGGCAATCTTAAAACATAGACTTTAACCACATTGGTTAATTGCTCACATTAATCTTAAAACATAGCCTTTTGTCTGTTAACATAATCCTTATAATAATTCAGATTGATGCACTTTTGGTTTCCCTAGTTTGGAAAGACTCAAATATTTTTAAATCAAAACTGAATTAAAGAAAAAAGTCAGCTCAATTGAACAGCATGTGCCAAATAAGCACATGTACACAGCTATAACTCTCATTACACTTTCCAATTTAACAATGGCAGCATGCTATATAGCTGTAGGCAACATTGAGAATTGCATTAATTTAATTATTACATTAATTGAATTAAATTTATGAAATTAATCTCAATTTAGCAAACATTGAAAAAAGTGAATGGAGCAGCTAACAAGGGGTATTCTAGCTGTAAAAGGGACACAAATCCCAATGATTAATTACTCATTAAAGTGGGCACATTTTTGTGAATATTTTGCAGCAGAAGCCAGTTTTGTAGTAAACTGGTTTAGTATGGTGGAAAATTAACACATATTACTGGCAGTGCACTGGAGGCTTAAACGTTAGGTCCTGCAAATGTACGACTTCTTTCTTCTGTACTTATGGAATGTATCACACATTAGGCATCTGATAAACTCACAATAGGGAATTTGTCTAACTGATGAAAGTAGAAAGACTGTGTAAATTGGCAGTACAATAGTGGTAAAATGCACTTCATATTCAATAGTTATTTACCCATCCATTCTTTAAAGAATATTTAAAGCCATTTTATCTTAGATTTAGATAGAGCCTCCGGCAGATTTTTATTTACATTTTTTAACCATCTATGGCCAGCTTAAGTTTCTCAATCTGCATATACTACAAGGAACAGACACTTGGGATATTTACAAAAATGTGTTGTGCAGATATCAAGAACTGATATATATATATATATATATATTTAGCAATTCTTTGTTTCAAGAAGTCATAAACTGGTGATCAATAATCACAAAAGCACTTTAAGAAAAGAGTTCCAAACCTGATTAGAACCTCTGCCAGGTCTTTGGTAGCATAAACAATCTGCATTATAATGTAAATACATCATTATCATATAATATATTAAAACTCAGCATATTTAAATGACATTGTCTCCTATACAGTGTGTGACTGGTCACAATGCTAAAGAAGGACTCTGGACAAAACTGATCTTAAGCCTTGCAGTGGGCTACCCCCACACTGCAAGGGTTTAGTGCTCGTTTTCATCTAGGAGTGAAAATAACAAAGTAATACTCAATCCAAACTCTCAGCTAGCTAGACCGGTCCCCAAAGCGTCTCTCCCCCTCCACTTCAGCAGTCTAAGGTCCTGTGAGTTATCATGTCCAATACAGTGTATTGGACGTGAGGATGTCAAGGGACACAACATTGCTGGAGCAGAGGAGGCAGGCTGAAGGGACTGGTCTAGGAGCCAGCAGGCTGCTAGCATCGGATGAGTATAAAGCTGGCCATACACCTTACAATTATCTGCAGATTTTCTGTGGTCAGATGGAAAAAGTGCAACAGATTGGCCCAACTGTGTGGATGGAGGAATCTCCCACTGGGTCAGGCTTTAGTATCTTGCTTGTCGGCACCGCTGGATGTCAAAATATCTGAACAATGCCTGCATCCAATCAGATTCTTCCGGTATTTTGACAGCCAGCAGGACCGACTAGCAAGATACTGAAGCTTGGCCCAGCAGGAGTTTCCTCCATCCACACAGTTAAGTGTAGATGGAGGAATCTGTTGCACTTTTCCCATCTGACCATAGACAATCTGCAGATAAATTGTAAGGTGTATGGCCAGCTTTACTTTGTTATTTTCGCTCCTAGATGAAAACGAGCACTTAACCCTTGCACTGCAGGGGAAGCCCCACTGCGAGGGTTAAGATCATTTTTGCACTGAGTTCTTCTTTAATAGAATTAAATCATTCCCTGGAAAAATGCAGTGATAAGACTGATGTGCGGTAACCTCTAGTAACCAATAAGAATTTATATTTTACTGATCTGGTTACAGCAGACTGTTAAGCGACATGTTAAGAGTTACTCTACATACACATCATCAACATCTTTGCATTTCTGACTGTTTTTAGAATGTATAATTATTATGTTGTCTTCATTCTGTACATATCAACCATACATTTTTACCATCAAACGTATTTATCATTGCAAATCTATGTTCCATAACACTGGATCTAAGGATGAGCTTGAGACTGGGTTCACACCATTTACCGAACCATATCTGGACCAGATCTGGAATGCAGTGCATTGCGTTTTTGCCACGATTTTACAGCGATTTTGCCGTGTTCCGGAGCTGTTTTCTTTTAGTTTAAAATGGGCTCTCAGATGCGTTCCATGCATTTTTGATGCGTTTCTATGCGTTCAAGTGCATTCCAGACCAGACAAAATGAGACATGTAGTATGGTCTGGAGCAGACTGCGCTGGTGTGAACAGAGGCCAGAAATAGCATAGGGATACATTAGGATGTATTTTGGGTCTGGAAACAATCTGGTCTGGTCTGGAGATGATCTGGAGGTGGTGTGAATGGGCCCTTAAGCAGGAGCTAAGGCTACGGTCAGACAGGCACTTTACGTGTTTTTTAAAGTCAGAAATCGCCACAGGTATTTTCATATCTATTCTTCATTTAATAACAAGGGATCATCATGTAGCAAGTTCTGAAAAAGATGTATCTGCTTCCTCACACCAATAGCAAATCTGAATCTTTATGGTCCTGTCACATTGAGAAATATGCAGAACCCCAATTCAAGCTAGTAAAACATTACTGAAAGTTGATGGATCATGGATTAAACAGCGTATGGAAGATTTATTTCTGGAGTGTGGCTCCCCCTTTGTTACACTTACATTACCGAAAGTGTTCCATATGGTTTCTAAGAATAGTAATATACAGAGTGCAAGAAATGTGACCAATGAAAGCATGGCTTCCACTAATCGAGCCATAAAGAGGTTTGTACAGTTTAGAATTGATCATTATTGCACAAAGAGCTATTTCAAGATCATAGATCTTGGATCAAGAAGGGTGAAAATTCCATTCACAGCTTCTCGAGTATGCCTCAATCCCACAGTTGTGTCATCTGCCCCTATTCTAAACCTTTATAATAATTGGCTAACAGGAAACACATGCATGGGGTATGTCTACCTTTCCTTTATTTCATCAACTTCCAACTAAAATTATTGAGCTTTTATATATTGCTATGTTGAAATATTATTTAATGCCATTTTTTGCTAACTGCTGGTCTTAGGTATACTGTAAAATATATTTATTAGACAGGATCAGGAGGAAGGTTTACCATTAGTTGTGTTGTAAGTTATAGCAGGTTTGACAGATGTACACATATTTTATGCATTTATACATGGAACATGTAGCTTAATATCCTTATTCTGCTTTTTTTTTATATAACAAATTCACTGATGCCTTACTAACATTAGACAAGTGTTGTTCCTGATCGTTAGCGAATGTATACAGTACACCAAACCACAAAAAACTATAATAGATTAATTCATAAACTTCGGTGGAGTGTCTTTCTCTAATGGGAAAAATAACTTAAATGCTTATCAAATGGCTTTTCCAGTGCCTTTTAAAAGACATGCAGCAAATTTGTACATAAGCAACTGAAAAGTGCAAACTTACTAATTTGTGTTACACTGAAAGCTGAAGGACAACTTTTTGTTAAAGAACGATGTGCAATTCATTGAAACTATTGTCTACATTCACAGAATACACTTATTCTCTCGCTGAAACAGCGAGAAAGGTGCGCACAATTTCAGAAGGGATACAGCTGAGTAGAGATTTATAAAGCACCACAAGGAACATATAATATTGCAGCAATAATGTATATACAGCGTATGCTATGTAGTAACTCAGTACTCAACATTTTAAAATAATTCCCAAGGATTTGTTTACTACCATCTAACAAAACTGAAGTTTACCGTCAAGTTTTACTTTGGAATCGTGTAATAAATACTAACTCATACTAGCACAGTTCCATGTTTCCAATAGTTACTAAATAATTGAATCCATATCTTTAAACTAATAAAAAGCTTAGAGCGCAAATATTGAATAGTTACAAGTATCTAGAACTCATAAGTTCAGTTACTCAGTGTTGGCTATAAGCTAGGATTTTGGTTGTATGTCATGTATTACGTATACAATTTTTCCAATGGCAGTTTGCTAGGAATGGTCACTTACGTGTGTTCTATCACCATACAGCTGTTCTAGAAATTATACAAACCACCATACACATCACATACCAAACAAGAAACAGTTACACACCGTACTCTGAAAGCACAAAACGCATGGTAATCGCACACAGAACTAGAAAGTCTGTTGAAAAGGATATCACAAGATAAATAAGACATTTTCAACAAAACGCAAGGTTACCCTTTGGTTGAAACAGTTATGTTGTTACCAACCTTAGAGGTTTTCTTTTTCAGAAAAAGGAAGGATTCTCTCTTCCACCAATTGTATGTTTTAGCTCATATAAACATATTTGTGACTACATATGTGTTGAAAGGCTGTCTATATTTCACCTTCATTTTTTTGTGGACTTTGTTAGCAACTATTTCTAAAACATCTCTTCACAAAACTCACAGTAATAGGAAAGCACATTAATGCAGCATAAATTCACCCACTGATACCAAGGAAGCCTGTCAGACAGCTTCACTTTGGCAGCCCTAGGGGGATAATAAAGAGGCTATGCCTTTGTTGCTTCTCTTTAAAATGTCATCCTGAGGATCCAACAAGGAAAATAACACTGAAAGATAGTCTTCATTTAAAATATACATCACTATAAGATAAAAAATACACACACTTTATCCGATTCTACAACCTGTGCAAATATATGATCTTTGTGATCAAATCTTATAGCAACCCATCCAGGTTCTTTTGAACAGTCTGCTCTTCCTTATCACTGTTTGGTTGCTCCAGAGGTTTATAATTGTTTTGGTATTCTTGAAGGATTGTAACGACATCATGGTGTCCAAAGTGCATAGCTTCGTCTATCGGAGTATTATTCCATCTGTAAGAGGAAACATTGTGTTATCTTTCCATTGCCTAACATTTGCCAATAGCCTGTTGTTCACTGACATAGTCTACAACGGATCTTATTAGGTAAACCCTAACAGGTGAAGGGAGGAACACTGAGTGGGTATGTTTATGTTGGAATTGCGCCCAGGAGTAAATTGTGCACGGGTTAAATACATCCATATAAACCAGGTTACACTTGTGTGTATGTAATTAAGCTAGACTATTACACAAGCAGAAATATCTGTTCACAGTTGCTGCTTTTCCATTTGAGTTTTTAGTTTTGTATAGAGTAAGGGAGGGTTATAACCCCTGTCATTTTTGTTGTTGTTGCCATCTGTGTCCCATTGAGGAGATTTCCCTTAACTTCCTGTGTGATAGCCACAACAGGAAGGGAGGGGAAATCCCCCAAAATTGACAGAAATTCCTGGTGGGCAATAGGGTCATCAGAACTAGTGTCCCTATTAAAAGAGTTCCCATCTACTTCTGTTCTGATGACAACCCAAAATTTGGGATTTTCTTTCGTTTTCAGTGATAACAGGACAAAGAGCAGGTGAATCTCCCTAATGGAGACACAGACAGTAATAAAAACCTGACAGGGGTCTAATCCCTCTCCACTCTGTCCAAAACGGAAAAATGAAATTTGGCTTTAGTTTCACTTCAAATAAATGGGCATACTATTCAATCACAATATGATGACACCACAATAAATCTTTTTATTTTTTACTGTACATCTCAAAAATGCAGTTGTATGGGCTGAATACTGTGCCTACATGCACTTTGTGTGCCGCTGTCACAATAGTAAGCACACAGCAGGAAATTCATCCCTCCAGGCTGTTTAGCATGGATGGGGGAACAATAAAATATAACGGTGTACACCCTATTTAAGAACTGTTAAAACATTCTTCAGACTGCATTGGCAACAAACACATTTTCCCACTGGGTATAACAGGTTTTTCAAGGGCTAGTACTGGCTTAAGATGCATACCGAATGTAATATATGCAAAATTATTGTTGCTTCTCGGAGGTATGCTTTATGATATTAGTGCAGTGTAACCAACTTTTACATGATATCAGGTCCTGATCAGGTGCGGATCTGCAGACGTGGTGCTACTGATGCAGTGCGTTTTTGCGCGTTTTTGATGCGTTCCAGTTAAAAAAATATTTTTTTTTGCTGGAGTGGGGCTGTCAGTATGTTAGCTGCAGTGCAGTGCGTTTTTGACGCGTTTTGCGTTTCCGGTCCGTTTCCTGACCGGACAAAATGTGACATGCAGTATTTTTTCTGTCGTAACCTGAACGCGTACGTGAGAACTATAGCCCATAAAACACATACGGATACATTGGGATGCATTTTTAGTGCAGGAGCGTACGGATCAGGTCAGCACAGAAAACGGACGTCGTGTGAACAGGCCCTTAAACTGTGTTACTAAAAACTGATGCCCTTATCTCCTATCGTAATTCTAGTATTCTATCTAATTGTGTCTCCTGAAAAAAAGGACGTACTGTATACTGTAATAACGAATCCCAAAACACTGCACAAAATAAATCCAGAAAAGTTACATTCCTATGTGCTGCTCCACAACACCTAATGCAATCAAAATATAATAATCAGAAATAAGGCAAAGCTACCAATTAGAATACAACTCTCTCTTGAGGTGGAGCGCTTGCTATCCATACTCGTAAAGGTGATTTGTTGTTGCGCGTTCAGCTGATGCGCGCATTAATAGTCTTACATATATGTTCAGCTAATAGTAGTTTTGCTATACAGTTTTTCTATTTTGAAATAAATTGTATCATACTATGGATTATTTTATTTGAATGTATCTACATTACTGATTGATACATGGTGGAATATATGAAGATGAATAAATGTAGTATCATAAAATTGGATTGGAACTAAAGAGATGTGCTGGAGGAAACACAAAGAAGACTTTTCATAACAAATATAAGCAATGCTATCTTTAACACACCTGTCTTTTGGAAAAGGGTTAACTTTGCAAGCGTCCAGGAGAAAGCGCACAACTTCAACATGACCTGTAATCAATAATAACAATAAATCTATCGCAAAATTCCTACAATCATGTCTAAAGTCACGTCTGCAATATTTATACAAGCTTATTTACATGAATATCAAAGTGTCTAGTACAAGGTCAGCACTATCTATGTTCTTTTTTTTTTTTATTAACCTTTTATTATTGTTATTATTAGGGATGCACCGATAGCGATACTAGTATCAGTAGCGGTGCCAATACGGAGTATTTGGGGGAGTACCCGTACTAGTCCAAATGCTCCAATACCTTGCCCAATACCGGAACTTCTGGTCAGAGGGAGATTTCCTCTAACTGGCTGTGCTGCGAAGAAAGATGGAGCCAGCTTCCCGGCCAATCAGGAAACCAGGTGGCGGGTAATGACTCGCCAACCAGCTTCCTGATTGGCCAGGAAGTCGGCTCCATACTGTTTGGCCGGCTCCATGCTGATTGGCCGGGGAAGCCAGCTTCCCAGCCAATCAGCATGGAGCCGGCTTCCTGGCTCCAATCAGCAGCCAATCAGCATGGAGTTGGCCAAACAGCATGGAGACGTCTTCCTGGCCAATCAGGAAGCCAGGAAGCGTGTAATGATCCCCCACCCGGCTTTCTGATTGGCCGGGAAGTCGGCTCCATGCTGATTGGTTTGTGAAGCCGGCTTCCTGGCCAATCAACATCAAGGCGGCCAAACAGACGGCTCCATTCTGATTGGCTGGGAAGACGGCTTCCTGGCCAATCAGCACTGAGCCAGCCAAACAGCATGGAGCTGGCTTAAGGGGCAATCAGGAAGCCTGATTGCCCAGGAAGCCGGCTCTATGCTAGCGGAAGTACTGGTATGGGTACTCGGTATTATCGAGTAACGAAATATAAACATCGGTACTCGTACTCGATACCGAAAAATCCGTATCGGTGCATCCCTAATTATTATACAGGATTTATATATTGCCAACAGTTTGCGAGGCACTTTACAAAATATGTGGACAGGACAATTACAATACCATACAAAAAGATTAGAAGGACCCTGACGCAAGAGCTTACAATCTACAAGGAGGGCCAAGTGATACAGAAGTTAATAGCTGTAAGGGATGAGCTGATTGAAGGAGTAGATCTACCGTTTTCAGGAGGAGGTGGAATAGGCTTCCCTGAAGAGGTGAGTTTTCAGGGATTACCTGAAGGCAGGCAGAGTAGGAGATAGCTGGATAGGTTATGGCAGGCAGTTCCAGAGGATAGGAGAGGCTCTGGAGAAGTCCTGGAGGTGAGCATGGTAGTAGGTGATGAGGGAGTCGGGACAGCAGGAAGTCTTTGGAGGAGCAAATAGGATGGTTAGAGTGATATTCTGAGATGAGGTTGGAGAAGTAGCTGGGGGCAGAGTTGTGGATGGCTTTGTATGTTGTTGTATATTGGAAGTCAGTGGAGGGATTGGCAGAGGGGAGGTGGCCACTGAGCAGTTGGTGAGCTGGATGAGTCTGGCAGCAGCATTCATGATAAAATGAAGGGGGCATAGCCTGTGTGTAGGCCAATTAGAAGGGAGTTGGACTAGTCAAGGCGAGATATGACAAGACCTTGTGTTGAGGGAATGATAATTGTGTTATTGATCTCAATGGAGAAGTCAGGGGAAGGGACACGGGGGGGAGGAAATATAATAAGCTCAGTTTTTGAAAGATTAAGTTTAAGAAAGTGGTGCGACATCCACTTGGATATGTCAGTTGGTAAATTAGTTATGCATGATGAGAATGAGGGGGTGATAGTATAGCGATAGACCTAAGTGTCATGGGCATAGAGATGGTATTGGAAGCTGTGGGAGGTTATCAGCTGACCAGTGGCGTAACAATCACCATAGCGACCCAGGCGGCCACTATGGGGCCCGGGGCACATTGGGGCCCGGCCAGATGCCATGCGGGCTGCCTGGGTCGCTATAGGATCCTCTGCTGGTGGCATTCACTGGCGGCTGAAGACGAATACGACGCTGTTCAGATCAATGACAGTAATCTGTGCAGCAGCGTGTTCCTCTCCACAGAGTCAATGAGAGCCAGCAGCGGCAGTGGAGGAGGCGGGGCCCGTGGTCGGCAGCAGGGGAGGATGCGGGGCCTGGTGACGAAGAAGGAGGCGGGCCTGGCTACGGAGGAGGCGGGGCACATGAGCTACCATGGAGGAAGAGGAGGCGGACAGGAAAGGAGTGCGACCAGCCCACCTGAGGGTGACCCTGCAGAGCCTACCATAGAGAGTCTATGGTGAGCTCTGCAAGTTCACCCTCAGGTGTGATCTCGAGTGGGCTCTGCAAAGGGTATAACTAGAAATCACGGGGCCCCATACAAAATTTTGCTATGGGGCCCTTTGATTTCTAGTTACGCCCCAGCAGCTGACCAAGGGAGGATGTGTAGATAGAGAGTAGAAGGGGCCCTAGGACAGAGCCCTGGGGGACCCCTACTGAGAGAGGTGCGCTAAATTAGGCAGTTAAAGTATTGCAAAATTACAAAGGATCAGAATATAGAAAAAGGAATGAGATTGTGGATAATAAATATGCATTGCCTACGGATCCAAGTTTTTTTTTTTTATAAAAGTGTATCTGAAAAGGCAGACTGGTCTTGCACAATGAAAATCAAAGAATTAGGTCTAGCATTTGTAATGGGAACAAGTGTGCAGAGGTTTAATCTCAGACAACATTCCCAGGCCCAGAAAAAATCTGACTGTCCACAGATCCGTGGATTGGGTGAGCAGAAGTATAGTAATGTGCATTACACTTTCCTCAGTGACCTGAATAGGTATCTTCAGATGTAAACTTTATGAGCTATCAAGCTTCCACTCGGAGCATACCATCGTGCAGCTAGCAACAATTAGTTGACACTGGAGATTTCTAAGGGGGATTTCCTCAACAACCAGCCGGCTGCAGATTAACAGTAGACACATTTCAGATCTAGATGTTTGCTACAGAAGATTCCTTGATCAAAGACACACAAGTAAGTATAATGCACATGATAATACTAATCTCACCATACAAATGACTGAAAAGGTGAAAGCACATACCTTCTGCTGCTGCTACATGCAATGCTGTGCGAGAATCATAATCACGTTGCTCCATATCCATTGCTGACAAAGCAAATCTAGAATATACAAACATAAAAAAAGAATGGTAACATGTTGAAATGAAATGCATAGAAAGGTAGTGACAAATATTATTAGGGTTTTAAAAGGTGAATGTCAAGCGTATATTAAAACAAAACCATAAATACAATTAGGTATTCATTCAAATATCTACAATTATTTTAAATGCAACTAGTACAAAGGACCTGGATTTGGCTTGGTATCATCGTCTTGTAATCCCCTGTACAGCAGCACTCACTGGGAGATGGAAGGACAACAGTAGGGCCCAATCAGATGTGCTTCATGTACATGTGCTGACAGGGAACATTCTGACAGGAGGAGAGAGAAAAGAAGTAGAGGGATGAGGTCATCAGTCTGGTGCTAATCCTTCACCATCCAATCCCAGGCTGGGGGACAGGGAGCTGACCAGACTAAATTGCTTCAACAGCTGTAGAGAAATGTCTGGTCACCAACCTGTCTCTGGCTGCAGTGTGTAAATATCATGTCTGAATGTAGAGAAATAAAAATTAAAATAGATTGGCAGTTAAGAAATCTTCCATTTATCTACCTCAACTATGTATTTAGCTGCTTGCATAGAGTGTTTTCTTTATTTTCAAGCAGAAATGGGAAAGCCTGGTTAAATGCACCCCCTCACTTTGCTGCTAATTGGTAGAGGTCTTTACATAGTGGACCCCTGCTAATTAGTTGTTTAATCACAGCTACTAAGCAGTTGCAAGGTCACCTTCTCAGAGATGTCATGCAGTCCAGCCTATCATATATATACTGTGACCTTGTCAACATCCTATGCAGATCAGAACTAATATTTTATGTCGGTTTGCTTACATTGTAATACCTAAAGCACTCCTCATATAATAATGGTCTGCTGTTATTTTTACCACCTTTGACACTTCCAGCATTGTCGAAGGCTCTCTGTGCCAGAAGGACTCTTCTGCTAATTCTTCCCAGCCCTGAAGTCACCTTTGCTTGGTGCAACAGCCGGGGAAGGCCCACATGATTTTCAAGATCTTTGCACATCACATGAGATTTTCTTGGCCGCTATCAGGCATACATATGACAGATGACATTAAGGTTGGAGAGGGGGAACCTCAGTTATTGCATCCTGGGCACATTACCATGATACCTTCTTTTAAATATATATTCAAAACTAGATTAAACCAAACATTATCAACCTCTGTCAGCTACAGTTGCTAAATGAAGGCAGGAGCCCATTTACAAACACTTCTTTTAACCTTCCCTCTCCACATCCCTTCAGCCTGGGCGTGGTGACTGCACTGACGATGAGCCCATGTACAGACCTAGGCAGGTCTGCCATACGGGTCCAGCTCTCACCAATTCTGGCTAGGATTGGGCTTTATACTATAAACCATGGCTTCCTAAACTTTTAAACAAAAGGGACAGTTCTCTGTTCATCAGGCTGTATGAAGGTTGGACTGTGGACAGTAGGGGTAAAAATGCCCTGGCATTGGTCAGTGGGACTAAAAAATGCTCTGGTGTCAGAGGCCGGTAGCCCTATAATTGGTGGTCAATAGGAGGAATGTAGCCGCATCATTGGTGGTGGCGTACCTTGTAGGCTCCATGTCCCACACGTCTCCTCATTGCGACGTTGTGGCCTGGAGAATACAGGCACCATTTGGCATGGACAATAGTGCCTGTATTAAACTCTCAGATGCTGGAATGATGTCCTACTCTTCAATTAGCAGTCTCCAACTGTAGGCTTGCAGTGAGAACGCCCTTCATACAGGGCCTTCTCATTGCAGGGGCCGGTGTTTACACCCAAGAGCCATAGTTTGGGGACTATGGTTATAAACTGATACTTACACAATGGTGTGGGGACAATGTGGTGCTTGCAATATAGCTTACATAAAAAAGAAATCCAAATACAAAGAATACCAAAATCACACATAAAATGGCAAAGGTTTTATATTATTATTTATATTAACTACGCCCAAAACGTATATCTTAGTATATGGTTCAGTATATAGTTAGAATGGTTGCTAGCAAGTTAACTCACATGTTGGCTTCTTTTTTCTAAGGGATAACAATAGCAAGATGTCTCAGCAGTAGCTCAAGTCTGAGCCTCACCCTCAAGTCCAAAAAAATCAAGGCTGTTACACTCTTGCAGCTGACTCTTCAGAAGACTTTGGGTTTTGTGGTAAGAGGGCGCAGACACAAGCTTCTGCTTAGAAATCTTATCCCTGGAGGACATATAACAAAAAGGTGAAGGATTCATTAAACAGATGGCCTCTCAAAACAGAAATATCAATTTTTCATGTTGTGATCTATTTTATTTCTGCTATATCTATATTTAAGATAGAATAATTACCTTCGAAGGGCAGAAACATCTCCAGTATATGCAGCAAATAGAAGATTTATCACAGATTTTACCTACAAGGAAAAAAGAACTAACATTTTACAGCAATCCTGCTGATGAATGGAGAGATATAATGCAGTTAATGAAGATCTGTCATTTTCAGAATAATAGTCGTGTACACAGAGCATATACAGTATACCATGTAAGTGGCTATCACAGCAGCGGGACTTACAAACCATGCCTACTTTATTCTAATGCAGTGAGAGTCGGAGGCTTGCTTGTTTGACGACATAAAAACTGAACAATTTCAGCTTCACTGTGACTGGCATCTCAGATTCTGAACAGTTCTGTACCCAATTCGCAATGAAGGTGCCCACATATTATAATCCAATCATAACTACAAGAAATAAAACCACATGTGGGCATTTTCTGATCATTTTAAATCAAATTTCTTGAGGTCATACCAAAAAATCAGGCATAGGTTTGAAATGTTTTAAGTTGCTTTCAATGGGGAACATGCTGTGCAAAATCAAACTAACTTTTCTTTATTTGATCATTTACAACCTACTTCCAAATAACTGATGTGTGTGTAGCCAGCTGAAAGTAAAACTTTTTTTTATTTTGGAAAGAGTAAGGCCCCTTTCAGAGAGGCTTAACAAACGACAGGTGGATCTGATTGGTAAACTTGTAAGTTTCGTCCCGAAATGAAATTCGGATGAATATCGGCATATTTGGACATTCGGATGCATCCGAATTTCCAAAATGACAGAAACAACGAATCCACATGTATCCAAATTTTAAAAATTAAAATTCAGATGCATTCAAAAATGTTTCTGAATGTTCTTCGGAATGAACTGATGTTGTTACATGTTAATTTGAAAACAAAACAAATCAGCATAGAGTCCCCCCTTCCCAATTCATACCAGACCCTTTAGGTCCGGTAGGAATTTTAGGGGGGACCCCAAACACCAAAAAAACAAACAAAAAAAAAGCGTGGGAAAAGTCCTTTATTAAAAAAAAAAAAACACCCAAAAAGGTTTATAGCTGTGATCCACGTTAATCACTGGGTCCAGCGAGGTAGATCCACGTCAATCACGATGGCTGGCCCTAATATATAATATAAAATAATGCCCGATCCGGACAAACTCTCGATACTAATGACAGCTCTGCTCCCGAATGTCAAAAAAGGGGCAGAGTGAGTCATGATGTCAAGGGACCTAATCCGCCCCTTTATTTATTTTGCCGTGACGGCTCTTGTCCCCTAATCAAATGTAATCAAAGGGGCGGATCAAGTTTCATGACATCATGACTCACTCTGCCCCTTTGTTTCCATTTGGGAGAAGAGTTGTCATATGTGCCGAAAGCTGTTGGGTTCAGATGTGGCGGGGGGCAGCGGAGATTTTTTCTTTCGGCAAGTCAGCGGCCATCATCCATCATGACTGACGAGGATCTACATCACTGGACGACATGATTGACATCGATAGACATTTCTTGGTTGGAATAAAGGACTTGTCAAAAGCTGTGTTGATTTTTTTAAATAAAGGACTTTGTAGTACAGTGTGGTGTGTTTATTTACTATTTTACTGTCATTTGGTGAATGAGTAGGTTTAACAACTACCCTTTACTCATTCATGGGGGGGGGGGGGCACATTCAGATAAGCCCCCCTGCCCACAGACCCCCACAACCACCGAGTCAAGTTTGTGGGGAAGAGAGCCCTTGACCTCACCAACATGTTGAGGGCATGCGGCCTGCTCTGCCAGGTTGCTGCTTGGATCAAGGGTCTGGTAAGGAATTTTAGGGGGGGACCCCACGCACTTAATTTTTTTTATTTTTACATTTAAAAGCAACTTAACTCCATCCAAATAGATTATAATAGATCCGAATGTTCGTTCGTAATTATCATTTAAAAATTTGGAAAGATCCGAATCTGAATAACGAAACAAATTGACTTTCAGACCTGAATCCCGAAAAGCAGAATAATGAAAAATCCAAAACAAAATGAATTTTTGGCTGGCTTACATGTCTACTGATCAAAAGACCTATGTTAGTCTATGGGCTCTGGCCAGGTCTGGAAAAACAAACAGATCAGAGTTCTGTTTCGCTGGACCTGATTGTGCCAGATTGGAGGTAATCTGATGTAAATGGACACAAGTCTGTTTACATCTGATGCCCCATAGACCAACATGGGTTCAGTAATTTCAGTTTTTTCCTCCATCGCAAAACTTTAAGGACACAGATGTCACAACAGTCACATTCATTCCGATTAGCAGGGAATCCGTGCAGAGGCCTAAGGGAGGGGGGGTTATAACTTCTTTCAATTTTTTTGCCATCTGTGACCCATTTGGGAAATTACTCTCCCATTGTGAACTGAGAGGAAATCCCTCCAAGATGACCGGTTGTCCTTGAAGGCCATGAGAACTGGTGTTCCATTTGGAAGATTTCCCGTCTATTCCTGTGACACCTCAAATGTAGGATTTTCTTTCACTTTCACACTCGATAATAAAGGCCACCAGGACAAATAGAGATGAAAAAAATCTCCCTAACGCGGACACAGACAGTAATAGGAACCTGACAGGGGTTTTAATCCCTCCCTACTTTATACATAATTTACATTAAGGGTCCATTCACACTATTATGCTGCACTACAATACACTACTGCAATGCATAATAACACACAAAACACAATGTGGTGCATTGGGGTACCATGCACCTAGGCAGCACAGCACATGGCACGTGTTTTAGCACACCGAAAAGCAAGCTGTCTGCTGAAATGTGCATCGAAGTGCGTTTGCAGCCCATTTAAAATGAGTGGGCTGCCTCCCGAGTCCATACAGTATTCTTCAATGAGAAACTGTCTGCAAAATTATCAGGCTCAACTGGAAAATGTCATAAGGTTTGGGGTCCATGGCTACCGCGATATCTGCCACCCGACTTTGACCATCAATTATTGGTTCTGTAGCACTCAGTAGTGATCAAGGTGTGAGTGGTGGAGTTTCCTGAACTCCTGGCACACACTTTCTTCTTCTTCCCTCCTCTTCTTCTATTTTTTCCTGTCTTTTCTATATTCCTGTCTTCTCACTCCCTTCTCATTTTTCTCCCCACCTTTCTTTTTTCCTTTTTTGCAATTGAGTTACATCTATTTTGTTACAATAAAACCTAAAATGTTTTTTGGCCTATATTTTGGATACCATGTGATGCAGCAATTTATAAACTGAGTGGCCAGATTATTATGACCACCCCATCAGTACTTCGTTGGGCCACGAGATATTGAAAGGTGATGCGAGGAATCTGAAAAACCCTGGTAACGTTGCAACCCTGGTAGTTCCGCCACTGCCTACAAGGCATTATGATGTCACATGTGGGGCATTTCTTGTACTGACTGTGCCTCCTGTAACTCCTCTTCTTCAGAAGGCAGGCTCTGTGAAATGGGTGACACTGCAGTGCATATTCACAGGGCAGAGTGAAGATGTGTTACTGTGTGCCGCCCCAATGGGGCATACAAGTTATTTAGATAGAAGTTTTATATAGATTGTTTTCTCTATACCTTTTCCTATGGACGTTTTGTATATCTAGTTCACATGTTGCCATCTAGTGGCCTTTCGTGATATTGCACCTGTTTTTCCTGTATTCCTTTCCTGATATATGACACATTTCCTTTGTGTGTAATGCCCCACCCTTCTTCCTGAGTGCAGTACTTCCTGTGTCATGGCCACAGCAAGCAGGCCACATGTAACAGGGACACGTGTATTCTGCCCAGTACGCTAGGAAATGCATCATCTTTTGACCACATAATACTGAAAACCATCCATCTGCTGTATCCTGTTGTCTGATGTGCAGAATAAAGCAATCTTTGTGGATGAAACGGTATTGGTGAGTTCAGCTATCTGACAATGAATGTCCTCAGTGATTGAATCTACTTATACAGGCCAGGCATAGAGGTCTCAACAAGGGATAAATCGCTATCACAACAATCGGAGTCAGAATACACTGAATTAAACAAAGTAAATTTACAAACTTCAATATCGTTCTGACTAATACAAGTAGATTAGAAATAATTAAATTCAATGTGGAAATGAATATATGAGTTGTAATTTTGACCATAGATATACTGTATTTTAATATACAGCAAATGAATGATATAACACCCACCAATGTTCTACTCAAATGAGTGAATTTACTAGGCACATATAAGTGATAATGACCTTTATCACAAGCTCCGCACCTGGTGTCATGTGATTATTTTTGCGCAAATTGGTCTGCTTTATATGCAGGACTATTTTTTTCAATGTACAGATCACAAAAAAGAGAAAGAAGAGAAGTTTTCATGTTTCCTGAATAATAGGGAGCCTTCTGAATTCTTTCAATATATCCCTCTCCCCCTAAAGTCCACTAGCTGAATTAGGAGGGAAACAATATAAAGGCAAAGGTTATCCTAATTTGTATACTTTCAGTCTTGGTGCTGTGCCATCTAATCCTGCTGCCCTAGGCATTGGCTCTCAAGTGTCATCAAAAATTAAATAAATACAGACCTAACATTGAACTATTCTAGAGCTAATATTTCAATAATACTTCAAGTGACACTAGACTCAGGAGTTAAATATAAAAATTGCATTCAAGTACCTTAACTAGTAAAAAAAATGTATCTTATTTGTGTATCACTCAGATATAGATCCTCAAATCATCTCTGAATTCATGCTGACACTGGCCTTCCTTCTGGAGAGTGACTACTTTTGTTCCCCATGGACCCTGGTGCTGTAAACAGGCACCGCGATTCACAGGTAGGCGTCCGTAGTCTGACTTTGCTGGGGACCTTGGCAGCCTTCCTGTGAACCGTCGGTATCAGCGCTTACTACAGGAGCATTTTCACAGGTACGAGTGAAAACGCCCAGTATCTGCATCAATATTGATACCAGTATCGGTGCATCCTCAGTCAGTATATCCAAAGTGTTCTGTCCTCCTCTCTGCTGCCGGCTGCTGAGACAAAGTGGAGGCAAAGACGAGGGGGGTGCCACAACTGCAGGAGAGGTGCCACATGAAATGGCCTGGCAAGTCGGATGCGGCCTGTGGGCCTTA